CTGATGCTTGTGATGCAGATTGTGAATTTGCTGGTGCTGGTTCTGTTAGTGTTTCAGCTATCAAATGTATATTATTATAAATATTTTGAATGGTATTAGTCAACCGATTATATGTTTGATTTTGTGTATTTTCATCATCATGATATTTATTCTCATGTTTATGTTGTGTAGTTCTTGTTGAATCAATCATGTTATCTTCACGTTTATTATCATCTTTATTTCTTTGTTCATTGTATTGTTCAGTCTCCAATCCTTTACTAATTACAACAATTAATATCAATAGAATCGTTGTTTATTTCTAATTAGTTCTTCTCTTTAAATATATCACACTAACATACTTCAATTTCTTTATTGTCCATTCATTATTTGAATTTGAATTGAAATTTATTTGCCTTCTTTGTATTTTGTGTTTATATTATCATTGTATATCATTCATGATTTGATGAAATGTTAAAATGTCAAAATTCTTTCATCCAACTCTAAAATTATTCTATTCTTATTGTGTATTTTTATTTCAAACAAACAAAATATTATGATTGGTTAAACTCATTATTTTATTATCATATTCATATTTCTTATTCTTATATTTCTGATTTGATGATAATCTTATTTATAATACAATATATTTGAAAGTTTCTGATTGAAAACAATACTAAATAATATATTAAAACATCTGTATTAATTTATATTCAATTATCAATTCATCAATAACTAAAACACAAATGTTATTCATGATTTATCAGAATTGAAAATTAAAATAATCTTAATTCAATATATATTTTGTACAACAAATCTAACTGAATAATGAATATATTAATGATTATTTATATACACAACTTATTTTCTATTTGTGTATTACCAAATTATTTCAATTATATTCAATGTTATAATGTATCAATATGTTAATACAATCATATATTCATTTCAAAATATTTATGAATATTATATTACAAGTATTTCATATATTTATTGTTATTTTTAAAATGAATAAAACAACAATATCGATAAATATGACAATGATATATGAAATGAGAGTAATACAATAATATTTTATGAATGATAATACAAAATAACATAGTAATGTGAAAGAAGAATATATAAAATCAAATTAATTATCAAATATACTTCAACATACATTTAATGATTTTAATGAATGACAAAACATAATACTAAATTAAATAATTAAAACATAATCCAATAAAATAATAATACATAAAATGAACCAATATAAAAAATATAAAATAATATAAGAAATCTAAAGAAAGAGAAATAAAGAAAATAATAAATAGACTAAATAAAATGAAAAGAATTATAAAAATAAAGAAACAAATAAATAAAGTGAAATAATAAGATAAAGAATGAAATATTTTATAAATGGAATATTTTTATTTATTATTCCATTTAGTATTTATGATGTAATAATAATTTGATGTACTTATTTTTAATACTATTTAATAGACAATACGAAATAATAAGAAAATCAAATAAATGAAAAACATCGAAATGATAGAAATGAATGAAACAAAGATAAATGTTTATCTAAAAAATAGAAATAAAATATAATAAGTTTTAATAATATTTTAATTAAATTAAGGATATTTTATATTTTAAATAATAATGAAATAATTTAAAGAATGAATAATCATGAATATGAAATCGAATATAATAAAAATAATAAAAACAAAGATAAAATTCAATTTATATAACGTATCAAATATATATAATAACATAAGAAATGAATATAAAATAACATAAACGAATCGAGAATATATTCAAATAAATATAAATATTAAATATAAATAATAAATATAGATATTAAAGAATAACATCAGAAAATAAATTTTCAAAAAAGAAAAAATAAGAAAATATCAGAATAAACAATATATTCTAATTAGTATAATATATTTAAAAATGATATAATGAAATGTCATGAAAAATAAATAATGAATAAATAAAAATGATAAATAAAAATAATTATCAAAAAGAGAAATAACATAAAAACAACA